TAAGTCTTTTTTTGGTGCCTTTAAGGTTCCTTTTAGGGATTATTAGGAAATATATCACCAACCCTTGAGTCGCTTTTAGGTGGCTTTTATGTCTCTTTTAGGTATCATCGGAGAATACATTTCCCAAACCCTTGAGTCTCTTTAGGTGCCTTTTAGGTATATCATTGGGAGATATGTCCGCATCTTCCAAGTTGTTTTTAGGTGCCTTCAGGGTGCCTTTTAGGAATAATTGGAGAATGCATCCCCACTCCTTGAGTCATATTTAGTTACCTTTCAGGTCTCTTCTAGGTATCATTGGAGAATACATCCCCCCCATCCCTTGAGTCTCTTTTAGGTGCCTTTTAGGTATATCTTTGAGAAATATGTCCGTAACTTCCAAGTTGTTTCTAGGTGCCTTCAAGGTCTCCTTTAGATATCATCGAGATACACGGTAGCGTATCGGCCAAGTAAGCATTTCATCTCTCACCGAAACTCGCCGGCAGCTACTACGTATCTATACACGACGCAACTACCCCCTCCACTACCACCGCATGAGGACTCTCCGATTAAAATCAAAATGCCACTAATTACGCGAAAACTGACGTTAGTTTCATCATTTAAATCGCCTATGACCTTGACATTGTTGTCACTACTTTTGTTTACCATCAGTATTTACGGAGATATGTGTTTAACATCACGTATTATTCCTTGATTTCACGAATGAGATGAATTTTCATCAGAATCACTCCTGAAAGTTGGCAGGAGTGATTCTGATATAGAGTTCGTCAACTGGTTGGGTGTGTAATGCGCAAGGCGCTCAGGGTTTCAAGTGAACAATGCGCATCTGCTCAGGATTTCGAGTGAATTATGCGCATGCACTGAATACTGATGTGATGCGTATGCGCGTAATGAGTGAGAAGTGGAGAATTTCAAAATTCAGTTCGACATTTTTGTTAATTAAGCATGTATCTCGCAAACGAATGTTTTTAGAGGAATATGTCATAGGAAATTTTTTGAAGCTGAAACAATTTGCAACGAAAAATGTCTTTCCATAATTCTCCCAGAAATCAATCATTATCAAGAACATTCAGCAAGTAGCGGGATGTGAATTTATAGGTTATTTTCAGTGACAACACTTCATAACTTCAGACAGTTCTGCATTTATCTCAGAAACGAGTGGGTTTAGGGGAAAATCTTAATAGAACTTGTTTGGTGAATGTCTGGAGTTAGGGTGGGATGTGGGATGAAAAATGTGGAGGGAGATGCTGGGAAAATTTTATTAGGCGGTTTATAAAAAATCAAGTATATTTCGTGGGATCGAACCACTTGTCACAATAGTTACACTCTTTGGTATTTTAAATGTTGAATGTCTACTTTCACTGATAATTGTCTGTTCACTTTTATCGCGTTGAGTTACTGAGAACATATTGAACTTAATCAACAAGTTGATGTACTAAACTGAATATTAAATGCGGATTGACTGACTACGCTAGCTCATTATCGTAACGATACGTGAACACTACTGAGGTGACTCTTCCGGATGCCGCGCTAACCTGTGTCCGTTGACCCGAAAGTTCACGGAGATTTTCGGAGATGGCCGAGTTAGTCGACCGTGACTGTCATGGAGATTTTGGCTGTATTTCGAACAGAACTTTTTTGTAGCTGACAAAATTTTCCACCAAAAATATCTTTTGACATTTTCCGCTAAACCCACTCATTACTGAAATAATCGTGTATTTAAAATAATGTAAAAATCATCTTATTCCAAATAACCAATTTCAATTTTTTGATAATTCTGCATTTATCTCAAAAACAAGTAGGGTTAAGGGAAAATCTCAATCGACCTTATTTGAAACGCAGTTAAAATTCAGTACATCAACGGTTGACCACAGATCGGCCACTTACGAAAATCTTCGGGAAACCTCGGGTCAACGGTCAGGCCTAGTCAATCACCGAATCTCAGAGTCAGTCGTAGAGAGTCGTAGAGAGTCGTAGCAAATGAGTTGAGCGAGCAGTATATCGTTTTTCTAAAGCTACTTTCGGTTGTCCGAACAGCGTCAGTACATCACCCGTTCGAGACATTTTGATTTCTCAGTACATCTCCTATTTAAATTCTCAGTACAGTCTCCTATTATTCAGTATATTATTCAGAAAATCTCCAGTGTTAAATTCAGAACATTTTGAATTAATTTCAGTGACAATTAATAGAGTTTAACAAGTGACGCTAAGGCGGTTCGATTCCACCGAATAAATCAGTATATTTTTTATAGACTCAGTGCGTTCGTTTTTCACCGGCATTTCCACTACCCCTTTCCCAATCCACCCTAAATTCAGTTTTCCCTCCAAACAGACCTCTTTTGTAACTGATACAATTTTCTACGAAAAATGTCTTCATACATTTTCCGCTAAACCCACTTATTATCGAGATAATTGCTCATTTACAATCACGTAAAAATCGTATTTTTACAAGTGTCCAACTTAACAATTTTCTTAACTACGTATTTATCTTAAGAATGATTGGATTGTAGATGAGGTCTATCTGACACTGCTATCAAGCACGAACGCCTGATGTTCTCATCGAGTATTTCAAAAAACCACGCCATGTACGTTGGTCTTGACCATTTTTATGAACATTTTTTTTCTTTGAACCGCTAAGATTGAAACTCTTCTATGGACTTGGTGTGAATAACCACACTTTCTACGGTCATGCTTCATGAACTTGGCACCCTTTGTCATTTCAATTTTTTTTTTCAATTTTTTTTTTCAATTTTTCAGAACCAATCGTCCTTGAATGAGTCCTCTGGGATTCATCATGGGGAATTTTCCTGTGCCATAACTCGTTCTCTCGGGCAACAACGCACTGAAATGGTTACTTGGCGTTTTTTTTAACGATTTTTTTTCGTTTTTTTTTCCTAGATTGGGATATACACGTCGCCAATCCCTGATTCACTTTTTCATGCTTTCAAGGTGTTTTTAGGTCTCTTTTAGGTATGACTGGAGAATACATCTCCTCGAATCCTTAAGTCTCTTTTAGTTGCTTTTCAAGTATCATGGGGAAACATGTTTTCAATCCCCAAGTTTTTTATGTGTAACATCTTCATCCTCGGTAGGCCAGTGAAATTTTGGCTGGCAGTGATTCCGTGCAAATGTGCTCAATATTAGTGTGTGTCCGTGTGCCTAATCAGGACAGAGTTCGTTGCGCCAAGAGATGGCGTTCATTGACTGAGGCCCACCCGACACGCAGAGCGACAGTTTCAGTGGCAGTGGATAACCTCTGTGTTATTGGCACTTGTCTTTACTAGGGTTAGAAGATAAAGCCACAAAGAATAGAAGAAGAAGAAACTCTGGGTTATATTTCAATGAATACGCCGATAAAAATCAGAATAAACAAAAAAAAATACTACCATTCGGTGGATATCAGTTAATAGATCACTGAGAGGGAATCTATTTGGTATAGATTCGGCCCAAAATCATGACGCGTGAAGATGTTATACATAAATCTCGAGTTCCGAAAGACTAGCTCGCCCATTTTTCAGGTGCCTCTAAGGTCCCTTGTAGGTATCGCAGGGAAATACGTGGCCTACTCTTGAGTCACTTTTCTATGCTTTCAAGGTAGCTTTTAGGTCTCTTTTAGGTATCATTGGAGAATACATCCCCCCGAATCTTTGAGTTTCTTCTAGGCGTTTTTTAGGTATAATTGGGAAATACGTCGCTAACCCTCAAGTGCCTTCCAGGTGCCTTTTAGGTATCATTGATAAATATGTCCGCAACCCTCAAGTCTCTTTTGGGTGATTTTTAGGTATCATTGGGGAATATGTTGGTAAGGCGCCTCTAAGGTGCCTTCTAGGTCTCTATTAGGTATCATGTACATCTCCAGCCCTTAAGACTCTTTCAGGTGATCTGAAGGCTTTCTTCACGTATCATTGGGAAATACGTCACCAACTCGACTTAAACCGATTGACCACTTCACTACTGAAATGTCATTGGGTGAATATGTACGCTAGCTTCTAAGCCCCTCGAAATGAGTAATCATGATGGAATTGTGAATGATTATTCGGTCAATGATTAATTAGAATAAGGAATTAATAGATGATTCTGTTTATTCTGATTCCTGAATAGATTTCTTCACATGACTTGATTAACACTCTTTTGCTCTTAAGGTTTTCCCCACCACAGGTTACTAGGTAAGAACACATGGTCCCCACTCCGTTGTCTCTCGTGGCTTCTCGTGGCTTAAAAGAAAGAGAGGGTTAATGGCTCAAGAACGATGGGAATTGTTCATTTGTCGACGATCCTTCAATCAGTTTCTGAAACAATACAATTATCAGTTGTCATATCCCAACGTCCAAAATTATCGAAAAATTCTCGATAGCTTCGTTACTACGCATGGAAGCTTGAGGGAATGGTTGGAATATCCTTTTTAATATCTCTAAAAAAACTGTCTGTTTTGCTGTAGCCTCCCCAACTTCTAATCAATTTTGTTCAATCATTTATCTAATTGTAATTAACCCACTGAACAGCCTAACGCACGAATCGTATCGATGTGAAGAGAGTGGGGGGTTACTCGACATATTTGTGCGTCATGAAAGACGCACGGCGGCACATGCACACTACTACAAAACGGTGAGAATTGGGGACGGCTTAGGCTATTGGCAACACTCTGGAACGGTAACTTGCCACAGGATCAGATGACCGCCCTCGTGGTAGTGTCTCTCTCTCACGGTCCTTATATTAAAAAGCACCCATGAAAAAGTGTCATGGCGGTTAGCATGTAAAAACTGTCATGGCGGATCATGGCGGAATATATACATGTTCAGTTGATACATGTCACCGATAGATGGCAAAAACATCATGCATATGTTCAGCCGATAAATAATATGCACACACATGTTCAGTCGATAAAAAAGAAAAATTTGCAATTATAGATGGCGTCAAATACGCCTCCTGAGAAAGGTCGTTTCTCATCTCATGAAATGCGTGTGCACTTTGAATGTTCGGTCTCATCGCCGGTGACCTGCGTAGAGTTAAGACGTGTATATTGTGCTTTTTACTATCGATCGAATCCATCCAGCATGGGTGATAATAATGAAATTAATTTCACATCTAATGAGGAGATGGATAACCTCCAAGCTGGGGACAATACAGCGTGAGTATTTTTTGATTTTATCGTTTCTTTCTTTAAAAAAAAAACAAATCAATTTCCCATTTCCAACGCGTATTTGTGCAACCGATAGTAATGGCGGCAGCCATAGTGTCTCATCGAGCATTTTCACTTTCAATCAATTTTTCATCCACATGCTTGATGTCGAATTTCTCTTTCAGTTGCAGCTTCTTTCAATTAAAATTGATTAATTAATATTATAAAAAGAAATTTAATTGTTCAATTTAATTAGGTGATTTTTACTTTCGATCAATTTTTCATCCACGTGCTTGAAGTTACAATTCTGTTTTGGTTAGGATTCTTTCTCCTTTCAAAATCGATTAATGACTCAAAAGTATTCAATAATAATTAATTTAATCGGGTAAAATTTGAATTAGTAAAAAAGTTAATATTGTTATGAATAATCTGTAAAAAAAAAGTTTGATATCTAATTAATTTTTTCGGCTGCAATTTTTTTTTACAGTCAAGATTTATCAATATTTCCAGACCAAATTTCAATTTGATCAAGTGAAATTTAGGAATGATGAATTTTTGATCAATTTTTCAGTTTTTCACGAAGAAAAAAACATGTTTGATGTCTGAATAGTTTTTTGATTAAGATTTTTTTTGTCGTAAATTCCGGTGATAAGAAAAATGATAGGCATTCCAACAATGCATTACGTTGAAAGTGTTCTTTTTGTTGAAATTTTAGTTCAACATATTTATTTATTTATTCATTTTTTCAGGGATATAACAGCTGGTGTTGTTCGATTGGATCCCCAGAGGAGATGTGCAAACGCACCACCCCCTAAAGTTGAATTACTCAGAGCCATTCTGAACAATCAAGGTCCAGATGGGGGACGAAATATTCGTGTCCTTTTCTGGCAAGATCGAGCACGAGAGTTTAACGGACGTATCCTGGGAAAGGTTATCCACATTCAACGAGGGAGGGTCGTCCCATCGAATCCTGCTTTCATCAATCACGCTGACAATCTCATCAGCGTGGAATTATCTATTGGTGCATCGACCATGGTCGATATTCTTGGAGATTTACCACAAAATGTACCAGATATTCCGCAGCCAAGAGTTGTCGCCTCTTTGAGAACTCTTGCAAGATACGAGGATTTGATACGTAAGTGATTTTTTTAATTATCGAGTATTTTTTAAATAATGACTCTCTCAAAATTCTCTCAAAAATAATCATGTAATGGCTTCTGTTATAAAATTTTATCAAGGAGTCAAATTTAGCTTTTTGAGAATTAAAAAAAAAATTGACATTTTTTTTCTCAACTGAATAAATTTAAAAAACTCAATATTTTAGTTGATCTTTTTTTCTCTTGTTTAGGTGTTGAGGGATATATAAAAGTCAGAATTCAGCAGCACGCATTGGGGAACATGAGTTACGGAGCTGGAGCCATTACAAACGGTCGATATCACCTTTGCTTGAATGTTGCCAACTTCGACATACACGTAAGTCCACAAGTGGGTGCGCATGTCACAGTTGAAGGGACTCCTCGAAGGAATAGGTATAACCATCGTCCTCCAAGTGCAAAGAATGGACGAAATAAGAGTGATGGATGAACAAGTAATGAGCCCACAGCAACTTCGAGGAGGTTTCAAGAGACTCCCTGAAAGGCATGAAATTGATGACGAGCCAGAACTTCCTGTGCCTTTTGCAGTACCAGAGTAACCTGAAGCCGTTCAGGTTGCACCTCAGGATAATGAACCAGTCATGGTTCCACCCCAGGTTGATAACGCTGCCTTAGTCGCTGATGTTGAAGTGGTAGCCCCTGCTCAGGTTGTACAACCAATCATTGATGTGAGAGACAATGCACCACCACTTCCACAAGTTCTTCTGGATGAGGCAGCAGGACCAGTGGTACAAGCACCACTCTATGATCAACTGCACCCTCGAGTTAATAAGAGGTCACTACCTGGAGCCAGGGATGAGGGTGAAGCCAATGGTGTGCTGGACGGTCGTCAAGTGAGACCACAACGAGCTCGACTGGACGACGGAGATCAAGCTGATCATGTGGTTGTCATCGAAGACGAGGTCGACAGGAATGGACCCCCATCACCAGCTCATGGAGCATAAAGCTATCTGGACACCGGTTATTATCAATCTTTTCTAATTCATTTGTTGGTACGCAATATTTTTAAATATTTTTTTTCTATGATTCACGAAGAAATATTTTGGCCAACATGGATCATTGAAAATATTCAATCTCTTGGTCATAGGTTGCCAAAATTAACCAAAATATTTTTCAATCATTTTTCGTGTAATTTGAAAGAACATTCAATTGATAATTTTCAGGAATGAGGAAATAACTCAGTTATTCGTATTATGCTTAGCGTATTTTCATAAGTATTGAGTCAAAGATGACAATTTCACTTTTTTCAGAGAAAATCGTCATCTTTTTCTATTTTTCGACTGACTTTATTTTTACCTGATAATGGGAGACTCGAACTAAGTTTATCTGATGACGAAAGACTAATGAAGTTGAAGTCAAAATGATGTGATTTTTAATTGTAAGAAAAAAAATTATATCATAAGCGAGAGAGTGGAGTATCCTGAGTTCATCCTAGAATTTCCGTACTTTTTTTTTGTCACAATGACTGAGTCATAATGTCCTTATGTTTATGCTTTTTTTATCACATGATAGAACTACAATGTCATAATTATATGTTATTTTATAACAAAAAGAAATGTTATATTATAGGAAAATGTTGTGATATTATGCAGAAGTAAGACGTCGAGCTGAGAATCACGAGTTTTCACAAGATTTTTTTTTATTTGTCTTCATGGCGGATTCATTTTTGTTTTGTTTTTTTTTTATTTCATTTCAAATAACTTTTTATTCTTCATTTTGTGAAAAAAAACTCGTGATCTTACTCACGTGATTGAGAAATATAAAGACAAAAGAAATTATTATTATTATATTTTAAAAAATGTTCTAATGTTATAGAGAAGTAAGACATCGAGCCTGAGTGTCACGAGATTTTTTTATTTGTCTTCATGACGGCTTCATTTTTGTTTCGTTTTTTTCATTCCCAATAATTTTTTATTCTTTCTTTTCCAAAAAAAAACTCGTGATCCCATTCTGATGATTAAAAAGTATAAACAACCAATGATTAGTATTATATTTCAAAAGATGATACGATAATTTTTGTTTTCTTGAGCAGAGGTAAGAGGACGTGAGGGTGCAGAGCACCCTTGATAAATGTTTTTTTTTATATGCAAACACATCATATTATCCTAAGATAAGAATTAATATGTGTTGATTTTCTTTATATGATGATAACTGGTGATCTAGCGAGGTATTAATGAGGAGAACTGTTTGAAAGCATTCGTTTGTATGAAAATAAAGGATTTAGTTGTAAAAATAATTGACTACTCGACTCACAAATTACTTTTCTCAGTCATTTTTTATTCTCAGGCCTGTCCTCCAATTTTTCCTTTCTTCCAATTCCTAGAGTCGTCAAATTTCTCCAGATTTTTTTTAATAAGATTTTTTCAATGTGAAAATTTGCATAATGATTTACCGACGGAGTATTTGCAATTTCTGAGATGTCGCCACCGGAGCATAGTCTAATTTTTTCCTCTCATGGAGAATCTATCCTCCATGGTCCCTCCAATTCTGCGGTGGAATAATTCTAACCTCGAATAACCGCATGTGCTATTCCTCTCTAACATTCTTCAATAAAGGAAAGGAAATATATATATATATATATATATATATAAATAATAATAGATAATAATAATATATTGTCTTTATTATTGAAAAAAAACTATAAATGTGAGCAGATAATAAAGAAAGAATTGAGAACAGTTTAAGGCTCTGGAAATACAAGTAGGTAAATAATAATTAAAACAATTATTAAAACAATTATTTGATCAATAGAATCTACAATAGCATATTAGGGAATGATTGAATGATCACGACTGATGTTATTTTTATGCATTCTATACAATGACACATGATTTATGATGTCACAAATAAAGAATAATAATTGAATATACGTACAACATCAATCAAATAACATAGTTTTCAATATTCTGTGTAACCCTTAGCAGCCACATGGGGTGAGCAGTTATTCCACTTATTATTTTTTCACTTTTCTAATCATGAATACGTATTTGAAAACCATTTCAGCATTTCATGATTCGTCATTTATGATTTGTCATTTTTTTCCTTTTTTCCTCCAATAATTTTGCAAAATAAATATGGTTTTTGAATAATCGGCGGATACTATTATTTTTTTATGGTAGTGGCATATATGGTGTAGATCATTCTAAAATACTAGCCCTCAATATTTCAAAATAGCAGAGTTATGAATTTTATGCTATGTGGCTTGGATGAGGTGTGGCCGCTAAGGGTTAAACATGAACGTTTTATCTCCGAAATTATTCACATTATTACATGTTTTTCCAGGGCTTTTTGATTGTATTCTAATCCAATCTACGTTTGTGCTGTGAGATCATTGCACAGTTGGAGGTGGAGTTTTGCAGAGACGTGAAACTACTTCAACAGGAAGGTTAATTGTGAGTGAAAATTTTGAATTTCTGTACTTTTTCTTTTGTTCCGTTGACAAACAAATTCATAGTAATGTCTTTTTCAGCTTCCTGTTTAGCCGAGTAACGGTGACCACCTGTTTTTGTATTAGATAAATAAAAAAATATATTGTAAACATAAATTGTAAAGATAATATTGTCCATAGGTGAAACTTTCGATTTTGTATAATGTAAATTGGGTAAAATTACAATAAAACGATTCATCTTCCCCTTCCAGACATATCAAGATTATAAAGAGACAACTCAGATTAGACTAGATATAAGGAGATAACTCAGATTAAACTAGATATACCAGTCTGAAAAAGGAAATTGAAGTTGAATTAGAGCCAGAAAGATTACAAAGAGAATTAACAGTACCATAAAAGACAAATAGAGGAAGTCAGAGGAAACTTTGAAAAAAACTGAATACCAGCCAAGTAGACTACAAAAAATTTGAAAATGTCAAAAAAAATATCTGAATCTGTTGATGAAGGAGTTGTATCATCAAAAAGAATAAAGTTGGGACAAACTTCTGACACCCAATCGGAGATTCTAAATGTGAATTTGTCAAGCGAAATTTCATTAGAATCTCATTCTTATCATCAATCTTATTTATCATTTAATACATCTTCAACATCACGTCCTCAAGCTATTGATAATTCAACGAGAATAGCCCATAACAGAATTGTCCATCCCCATTATCAGCTTACTGATCATAATTATTGTCATAAACCAAAAGATCCTCCATGCAGGGCTTTACACGATCACAGTTATGCTCATACTCATCGTTCTAATCGCATTCCTACCAATAGAATTACACAGGACTTTCACCAACAAAATGATACTTCATTTAATCCAACACTAATACCTCAACAAGTATCCACTAATTTCAATCCTGTCATTGCAACTCCTCAACGAGATATTCCTGAACATTATCTTGGTGGTATGAATGTCTTGTGTCAACATTGCCAAGCAAAACACTTCAAGGCAGAAAAAGTATTAAAGAAAAAGAATTCGTTCAATGATTGTTGCATTCATGGCAAAGTAGTTTTATCAGCTCTCAAGAGACCTCCAGAGATTCTAGAATATTTATTCAATGGAACACATCATATGTCTGATCATTTTTATGAGCAAATTCGTTATTACAACAATTCCTTTTCATTTGCTTCATTCAATGCCAACTTAGTTAAATTTAATAACCGGCGTCCTGGACCGTTCTGCTTTAAAATCCAAGGACAAATCTACTATCAAGTTAACACAGCTATCTATCCTTCGAATGACGAATTGCCAAGATATGGTCAACTTTTTATAATTGATTCAGAGGAAGCAGTTGATTATAGAATGCAGACACATAATGATTTGAATGCAGAAATTGTGGAGGCTATTGACAGGGCAATGCGTCTATGCAATCCACATGCCCAGTCGTACAATATGATGAGAGAAAAATTAGAATCAATGACGGTACAGAATCATGGAGAAGAACCGGAATTACAATTACTTTTCACATTGAAAAAGGGTTTAGACAAGAGGCGTTATAATTTCCAGCGCGTTAATGAAGTTGCAGCGGTATTTTCGACCAGAGCCGATAGTAAAATTCCTGAATCATATGTAACACTTCGTTCAAAAGGTACAAAGCTTTTGCAAAGTGTCAGTTCGATGGATCCCAATGTTGAGCCCTGGACTTATCCATTATTATATCCACATGGCAACTTGGGATGGGACTGCAACATGTTATTAGCAACTGGAAACAGAAAAGTCACAAGGAATGCTTATATCAAATATCCAATGGCAATCCGAGAGGAGCCCAATTATATTTTGATGGGACGTCGATTATTCCAACAGTGGGTAGTAGATTAATACGTGAAAATGGAAAAAGACAGACTGCAATATCTCAGAGCGCAGCAGAAAAAATTACGAGCTGATTCATATCAAGGATTGCAAGATCATTTGCAACGAAGAGCATCTGAAACCAACAGTCGTATAGGGAAAGTCATTATTCTTCCATCATCACATCAGGGTTCACCACGCAACATGCTACAAACGTATCAAGATGCTATGACAATAGTTCGTAAATTTGGCAAGCCCGATTTATTTATCACAATGACATGTAATCCAAAGTGGACTGAAATAACTGAAAATCTCTTAGAAGGCCAGACAGCTTCTGATAGACCCGATTTAGTAGCACGCGTTTTTGAACTAAAAAGAGAAGCGCTTCTGGACATAATAAAAAAGAAAAAATTGTTCGGTGAAGTACAAGCGTATGTTTATGTCATCGAATATCAGAAGCGTGGTCTACCACATATCCATTTGTTGCTCACATTAAAGCCAAATTCAAAAATCACAACACCTGAAATTGTTGATAAGTATATATCAGCTGAAATCACAAGCCCACTGGTAAACGCTAGATTACATGATATTACTGTATGAAATATGATACATGGACCATGTGGGAACTGGTGCCTAAATGAAAAGAAGAAATGTTCAGAAAACTATCCAAAAACCTTCAATGAATTCACCACGATGGATGAAGATGGCTATCCTCATTATAGACGGCGAGACAATTGTACTTACACACGTCGTGATGGATCAGTTTTCAATAATCAGAATGTTGTGCCTCATAACAAAGATTTATTAATGATGCTCAATTGTCATATAAATGTAGAATTAGTCTCAAGTATAAAAGCCGTTAAATATCTTTATAAGTATATTTACAAAGGACATGATGCTGCAGCTGTCGTGGTCCAGGATCCAGAGTCAAATGAAAACCAAGGAGTTATTGAACACGATGAAATTAGAAATTATATTGAAACTCGATACGTCTGCCCCCCTGAGGCATGTGCACGTATTCTTAATTTTTCTTTGCACGGAAGAAGTCATGCCATTCTTCGATTGTCAATACACTTGGAAAATCAACAAACTATTACAGTGGAAGATATTGAGAATGAAGGTTTAATAGATGCAGCAATGAATAAGCAATCACATTTAATGGCTTTCTTCACTTTGAATGAACGAGATCCAGATGCTAAGCAATTTACATATTCAGAAATCCCAAGTCATTACACATATGCAAAGAAAAATGGAATTTATTCTTGGCAAAAGCGGAAGAGTTATTTTAATACTATAGGACGAATTCATTCTGTTAGTCCAACACAATCTGAATTATTTCATCTCAGATTATTGCTCAATAGAGTGAAAGGGCCTACAAGTTTTCAACATTTAAGAACAGTCAATGGAATAACACATGACAGTTATATGAGTACATGTCTAGCATTAGGGCAAATTGAAAACGATGATGAATGGAAAAATGCGCTACACGAAGCAGAGGTTTGGATGATGCTTAAACAATTACGACAACTATTTGTGCGCATCCTAATTCATTGTAAGCCCATTCACCCAGAAGAGTTATGGCACGAATTCAAAGATGCATTATCACAAGATTTTTCACGAACAATGCCTCTATTACAAGCTCACAGAAAAGCCTACATTCAAATAAATTCGATACTCATCCAAGAAAGATTATGTCTTTCACAGTTTCCATCAATGCCTCAGATTAACGAAACTGATGAACTTGACGATGATATGCTACCTCACGAACATGAGGCCATTGGAAGAGCGCAATATGAGAAACTCAATGAACAACAGAAGAAGACTGTTGACACAATTCTAGAAGAATCATCAAATCCAGCTATCAGTAATGATAGATCACCATACTTTTTCATTGATGGACCCGGTGGATCAGGCAAAACATTCATTTATACTACACTCTATCATTTAATACGAAGTCAAGAGAAAAAAGTATGTACTATGGCATTTACAGGGATAGCTGCAACATTACTGCCATATGGAAAAACCGTCCATAAGACATTCAAATTGCCAATTGCGCTGTATACTGATTCATCCCCGAATATTACCGCTCAATCAAATGAAGCTGAGTATTTGAGGAATGTCGAAATGTTTATTTGGGATGAAGCACCAATGGCACCTAGGCATGCATTGGAATTAGTAGATCGAACTTTCCGTGACATATTGAATATTAATAAGCCATTTGGAGGAAAACTGATGTTATTAGGAGGGGATTTTCGGCAATTATTACCAGTGAAGAAAAATGCTACTCGCAGTGAATTGGTTGATTTATCTATCAAGTTTAGTTCCTTATGGCCTGTATTTTCAAAGTTTGCTCTAACTCAAAATATGCGCGCCTTACCGGAGGAGGCTGAATTTGCTCAATTCTTATTATCTCTCGGAGATGGCACAGCTAATGACAATGACATCGATCTAACTTTACCACCTGAATGCCTGGCAAGCCCAAATGCAGATATTGCTGAAGACGTATATGGTGAAGTCATTAGGAATAAAGAGTTTGACAAATTGACGAAATGGGCAATATTATCAGCCAGAAATATTGACGTTGATGACATTAACAAAAGAGTCGTTGATATATTAGATAAGTCAACAGAAAGAATTTATAATAGCATAAACACTGTAAAAAATTGTGACAATGGGGACATGGCTGAAGCAATTCTACCCGAATATTTAGAAACGTTAGATCCTCCCTGCTTACCTCTACATGAATTACGATTGAGAATCAATACTGTTGTGATGTTAATTAGGAATCTCTCCGTCAACGAAGGACTATGTAATCGAACAAGATTACAGATTTTGGAGTTAACAAATCATTTATTTAAATGCCGAATTCTAACGGGTGATAAACTGGGGGAAATAGTATTCATCAATCGTATTACTTTGTACAGTGAAGATGATTTTCCTTTTACTTTTGGAAGGAGACAATTTCCAATCAAATTAGCATTTGCCATGAAAATAAATAAATCACAAGGTCAAACTTTTGATAAAATCGGAATTGATCTTAGACGAGATGTTTTCAATCATGGTCAACTGTACGTTGCCTTATCACGTGTCCGTTCATGGGAATCTTTGAAAGTTTATCTGGGGAATCAAAGAGAATCAAAAACCGTCAGAAATTACGTATACACAGAATTATTCAGTTGAAAAAATTATGAAAATTATTAATTTATTGACAATTAACGTCTGCATTTTATCATATTAACAATAAATTACGAAAAACTTCAATTTAATGTGAGTAATTCTCACAAAAACAAAAACATTTATCGATTTCAAACTTCAATTTCATAGTCATAGCGCATGGGCAATACTACATTTCATGGAAATGAACAATTTTCAATTGCATTTTCAAAATTGATCAACGGCGCGGCC